TTTTCCTTTTTCTTTCTTTTTTTTTATGTAGTGTTTTCTACTCTTTCTCTGTTTTCAAGAGTAGCTTGCAATTTTGAAACTTATTTTTACCTAATATAAAACATGATCGCCTTTTCTCCAAACAGTTCAAAACACAACTTTTGATAGTAGGTTATTTTATAGTCTATGAAGCATATTAGCAAGAGCTCCAGCTTTGCTGACAGTGTATCCTGACTAGTATATTGTAAAGCTACAAGCAATAAACTTACTAAATGAACAAGGGCATCGATACCTAGTCTTCCTTCTCCTTCAAGGGCTGTTCATCTTTTGAGAAATATATGTGGAAATGTATACCTGTTATTTGTCCTGTAGCGGAAAAAAAACCAAGGTCAGTGTGTGAGGCAAGAGCAGAAGGAGCTTTAGTGCCGCGTGGTCTCCAAAGCCCTGGCCTCACGGGACGCGGTCGGCAGCCCTCTCGCCTGGGCCGCCGTGTGCTGGGCCGGTCCCTGGCGCATGAAGGAGGCTCCGGGGAGCCATTTACAGTCAGTGCCCGTTTCCCTGTCCCAAGGCTGTGCCAGCTCTTGCTCGGACGTGTCCTAAAACTGGAAGTAGGGAGAGCTGGGCTTGCTTCGCGTTGGACTGTGCCGCACACGCGTCAGGGAGGTGGGTGGCTGGCTCTGTAAGCTGGGGGCACAGCTCCCCTCGGCATCTTCACATGGACAAGTCCTGTGGACTTGCCTTCCTGCAAATAGCTAGAATATTTACTTAAGAAAAAATATTTAAGAGCAATCCCTTCCTCTTAAAGAAATGATGCAGATACTATGCTTTTAAAAAGATTGTGAAATTACATTGAATATTAATCACAATCAGACTGGAAGGGCCTGACTCCAGCCTTTTGCTTTCCCAGGCTCACATTTCTTTGGGTTTTATTCACAGACTGACCAGACGCTTCTTAAAATTATTTTCTAAATATTTTCTTCTGGTGAATTTTTGAGCACTAATATAGTATGTGTGCAGATATCTTTGTACTTCCCTGGCAGCGTAGCTCTCTGACCAGTTGTTCTGTTGTGTCTTTGCTTGTTAATTCTGTGCTTCAGCCTTAGAGCTAAAAACTAGTACTGAATCTCACCAGTAAGAGAGCTAAAATAGCTGTAACGTAGCTCGGTTCCTGCCATTGACAGCACAGGAGTAATGACTGCTTAACTGGAATCCAGTGCACTTCATACAACTAAGAACTGGAAGGCACTAAATTCACCATCTTAAAAATGAAAATGTCCTCCTGTGAAAATTGGGTGATACTTTTTGTTCCCAGGCAGTTGCATGAACACACTTAGAATATAAAGTATGTCAACCAGCTTGCTGGTGTGTTTCCTGTTTTGTGTAACTGCAAAACAGGAACAACAGGGGCTTTCTTTCTAGTTTGCTACACTGGACTTTAGAAATGGACATTTTAAAATACTAGATTTAAAAAAATATTTCAACAGAAACTCAATTTATCAAAAAAAAAAAAGAGGTGCAATTGGTTTTGTAGTACTGTCATCCAAAGTGATAAGGAGAGGCAAGCTTTAACACCACAGTTTTAAAATGTTTTAAGTGTCATAAGGTATGTTTTTTAAGAGTAGCTTTTTAAGTGTGATATCTGTGATACTTTTGTTTGGAAAAGGTAATATTTGAGCTTGATTCTACAAGGTGCTGAGAGATTCTGATCTAGCTCTGTGTACATTTAATTTTGAATATAGATCAATAGTAGTGAGGCCTGGGTATCCAGAGTAGGTATGCAAACCTTGCAAAGCAAAACCCATAGGTATTTTACCTATTTCACATGAAAGCTGCTTTTTTTTTTAATCTCTGTATCTGACTATTTGATATGATACTGATGCTCTTACACTGTCTTTGAGATATCTGAGATACTGATGCTCATATACTGTCTTTGAGATACCTGAAAATATTTGACCAGTGCTTATGGCAAACTCTGTGGTACAAATCCATGAAGTTTTGTTTCTTCAGGATAGTATCTTTAGCGTATGTGTATGTGAGGACAGGTTTTGAGGAGCAAAAAGATTTACTAACCTTTGAGTCCTTTAGCCTGCCTGAAATATGTGATTTCTCTGATTTGTGGCTTTTATTATTAATATGATTGTACAGTACTGCAATAATTAGAGCAAAGGTACTGTACGAGTTGGAAAAAAACGATCTTGAAAAGCTTCACTGACAGCAGAATAGGCTTCTGAATGGCTAATCCCCTTAGATGAGCAGGAAGATAAATATTATTTTAAAACATACATTTGTGTATTCAGTAATCAATTGCCGTAACATTTTTAATCTTTCAGAGGCTTAACTTACAAAAGCAGCGGGGTAGACATCACAGCAGGGAATACTTTGGTTCAGAAAATTAAACCCTTAGCTGCAGCCACATCAAGATCAGGTAAGATTTGTACCTTTTATTCCTGTTTCAGTCAGTTCATTCCAAGGAGACTTACTGTTTAATCTTTATGTTGATATAAATGCTTATATTTATGTTCTCTGCATGTTTCCAGAATGCACAAGAATTTTGGGGCGGTTAAGGAAATACCCTTGATTTCTTCAAAATGCAGTTACTTAAATTTACAGAATTGCTTATCGAAATGGCTGTAAAACAGATCTCCTGAATTCCATGTGGCTTAAGGACATTAGAAAACACAGTTCAGCACACTGAGAGGATCAATACAAGCAAAAATCCTGCTGGTTACTGTTATTTGGGATTATATTTTCTTATCAGCTCATGCACGGAGTAAGCCACACAATTTTTGTGCATAAATGTTTAAAAAGCTTTAGAATATGTAGAATTCCTCAGAGGTACTTGAGATTGGCGTGGAAGATGCATCTTTTGTTTGGAAAAAACAGGGAAAGCCCTTCCTCTCTTGTTGTGGTCTCCAGTCCGTATTGCTCCAGCAAGTCCTTGTAATTCTTATGATGGATTTAGAACATCAGTTATTTATTAAACTACCATGGAATTCAGGAAATATATTACAGTAATTATTAAGCGTTCAAACACAAAGCTTTGGATTTTTAGCCTTAGGCAATAATAATAATAATAAAACAAAAAACAGATGAGAGGATTAGGCCTCCTGTGGCTCTGTGATGAGACTCTAAGTGTCAGAGAAAAGTTTCCTGGGGATAAAACAAAGTAACTGTGACGGACTTCAAAGAGACTAGTGTTTTGGAGATCCTAGAGAAATCCATGAAAGGAGAAGTTTAGTACTCCCTTCTTTTTACATCTGGCAGGTTGCAATGCAGAGCTTGGAGGGTTTGCTGGCCTCTTTGACTTGAAAGCAGCTGGTTACAAAGATCCTATCTTGGTATCTGGAACTGATGGTGTTGGCACAAAACTCAAGGTAATCCAAAAACCTGTGTAAATGAAGATGCATGTCAGAGAAGCAGAAATGTCTAATCACTCTGATGCCTGTGTTACTAAGAGAAGAAAATTCAAAATAGTTGTGTTTAAAAATGCCTATTAGTTTTTCAAAAAGGAGAATTAAAAAAATGACATTGCCCTCCTTGAAGAGTCAGTTCAGCAAAATAAATATATGTTTAACTTTCATCTTGCAAATATCTTGTTTGAAATGATTATTAAAATTACTCATTTCAAATATTAAGGGCATAATAGGGACTCCAGTTCACTGAGGCAGAACCTCTGTCTTCAAAATGATTATTTGTGGGGAAAACATTAAATTACACCTTGTTACTGGGTTTACGCAAACTATAAGGGTTCCACTTCTGCTTGAGTCCCCGTCCACAAAGGGCCTTTTGCCCTTGCCGATGGGGAAGGCAACAGTTCCTGGATTTGAGGACGGGTGATAACAACCGAGGACGCTGCTCCGGCGGCTCCGCGAGCAGCCGCCTGCGTTGGCTGCAGCGGCTGCGCTCGCGTCCCGCGTTCTCGGAGCTCACGGGCGGCCGCGTCTCTCGCTGTGTCTCACAGGTGGCGCAGGCGTGTAGGAAACACGACACCGTCGGGCAGGACCTGGTGGCCATGTGCGTCAATGACATCCTGGCTCAAGGAGCAGAGCCCCTCTTCTTCCTTGACTATTTTGCCTGTGGCAAACTGGACGTGGACGTGGCGCAGGGAGTCGTTGCAGGCGTAGCTGAAGCCTGCAAAAAGGCGGGATGTGCCCTCCTGGGTATGAGCGCTCTCTTTCTTTGAACACCGTGAGAGTTTGTGTGCAGCCTCCTTAGAACTACCTCTAATGTGCTTGTCTTCCTGCTCTGTTTAAAGATTCTCAGAGGAGTACAAAAGAATTTTGTGTGATTTTTGCCTTCAGGGGCACAGAGAACACAAGGCAATGCTTTACAGATGTTGCCGTTGGCTCGGGCATCTGAATATTACTTTTCCTATTCATATATTTTCATTTGGCTTTGTAAACATAACTGCCCAGAAAACTAACAATTTATGTATTCAAATCTTTGTATCTTTTGAGTAAAATTGAAAAATCATTCCCAAAGTTTTATTTTTTTCTCTGTTGTCCAGAAGCAAATCCTAAAGTTTTCCCCAAGAAACAAAATTTGTATGTGTTACTGTGCGTGTGTGTCTCCCTATGTGCATCCATATTTTTTTAACTTCTTGGCTGATTTTAGTTTAGTTTAGTTCAGTTGAAACTTGCTTCTTTAGACATAAAAGGTAACCACAAGACAGGAGTGTAAAGGAAACCAGGCTTCATTAGCAACAGTTTTAGCAAAACTATTTATCTGATGGAAAAACTACCACCATTTTGGCAAATAAAACTTTCCATCCAAGAGTAAAAATATCAGTTTTTACTCTTTAGGTACCAGTTTAAAACTGGTATCATTTTGTCCATTTTTTTTTCTTTTTTTTTTCTTCTTGTTTAAAAAATTTTCTAACAAACTCTGTTCTAAATGGGAATGTCTAATCTTGAGAGAGTTTTACTGGATTTTAACAGGAGGCAACTTCTGTTTTATCTTTTCGCTGAATGAACTGTATGTCAACTTTATATTTGCCTTAGAGCTTTCTCTCACTTTATCAAATATAATCAAACTATTCATACTTGAACATAAGTATATTTTATTTGTTATCTTACTATGAAATTGCTTACTGAATTTTCGACATTTTATTTCCCATTGGAAAGTTTTAGAACAACCAAGGACTTTGGATGTTTAGAGATTCATTCAAAGAGAATTATTTCTCAAAGTTTTAAATGGGGTAGTAAATGTCTTTGTGTGCTAGTATAAAAAGAAGTCAGAACTCATAAATAAAGCAATCATGAATTGTTCTTCAAATTTATGGCTCTCCCAGAAAAGAATGGAGATGATGCAATAACTCCAGACCCAAGGAGGATTTTTTTTTTTTTTTGTAGCCTGGAGCATTAAAATAGATTTCAGTTTTGTTCCCAGCTTCATGCATTAATTCCAACATTGGACACATAGCATGCCAAGCATGCGAGTCTCCTCAAAGTCTTGTTTGGGCCTGCTCCTAAATTCACCTCGTAGATTTGCAGAATGTTCAGCTCATTTGGGCATCACGACCAGTGGGGAATTAGGAGAATCTTGATGTGGCTTTGGGGCTGCCTGGGGAGGCTTCCTCGTGGGTATGAGAGGAAAGTGTGAAGATGTCTGTCTGGGAAGACTCGGGAGTGAGCGGCAAAGGCTGGTTTCATGTGGCAACCGCAGCAAGTTCCCCTCTGCAGGCTGAATGAGACGTGACAGGTGGAACAGAGGTCCTGAGAAGTGAAGGCCACCGGCTTGTACCTGCTCAGATAAAGGCAGGGAGCCACTGCTGGCTGCACAGAGAGAGGGATAGAGCAATCTGAGCAACGTTACGGACTCCTACGCAAACTAGGAAAACTACCCTTTGAAACTACGTTCTAGACAAAACAGGTTTGTCAGGACAAAACAAGATGATGTCCTTATAGTCAAGGCGTAAGATGAGAGCTGAAACAACAGGTTCAGCTGCACGGGTAGGAAAGGCCCTCTGATTTTAGAGGAGTTCTGCCAAAACAACCTCTACGCCTTAGGTGTGGAGACCTGTAGTGATAAGGATGCCCAGGTGTGGATATGAGTAGCAGGCAGCATGGTGCAAAATTTTTATGAAGACAACGGAGACTATTAACTATTTAATTTCTCCAGTATTCTTGGGTGAGTCTCTTGTGTCTTGTAGGTTTCTCGTGGAGAATATTGAGCTTGGTAGAAATTTGAAAACGTAAAGCACTACGTAAATGCTTTTATTTTAAAGGCTTACCTCCTGAGCATGAAGTTTTAAGTCAGTCTTTAGGCTTAGACATTTCCTAGGGCAGAAGCCATAATATTTGATCAATATCAACGTCCTTCAAAACAAAATCCTATGCGTAAAACATGGATGCATAGTAATTTGCTGGTGGTTGTCACAGAGAAGCAGGAAATGTTTTTTCCCAGTTTGCTCTTGCCTGTTTGCTTGAAGGCCATGTCACCCATGTGTATCTTGAATTATTTTTAGTGTTTGCATACCTACTTAAAAAATCCAGTCCATTAACTCTTTACAGGTATGACACTTTGAAAAATTACCTGTGCGTTAATACCAATAGTTTTCCAACATCACCTTCCCCCCCCCCCCGCTTTGTTCCTACAGGAGGAGAAACTGCCGAAATGCCAGGCATGTATCCGCCGGGGGAGTACGACGTGGCCGGCTTCGCCGTCGGCGCGGTGGAGCGAGGGCAGATGCTGCCCCAGCTGGACAGAATCGCCGACGGGGATGCGGTTATCGGGGTAGCTTCTTCCGGGGTCCACAGCAACGGGTTTAGCCTCGTCAGGAAGATTGTGGAAAAGTCATCGTTGGATTTCTCCTCCCTGGTCGGCGTCGCTGGTGATCAGACATTAGGTAGCCCTTCTGATGCAGCTTCTTCCCTTGAACTGCTGAGCGGGTGAACGACACACGTGTTTTGTCTGTGACTTGGCTTTTGCAAGTTTTCTAAGGCACTAACAAGCTATTCTGTTCTTGAACATGCTCCCATCTTCCTTCTTCCAATGAATCAAATATGCCAGAAGGAAATCGGGGAGGGAAAAAATAAATGGCTAATTTTAAGCTGCAGAGAGGTAGAACATTGTCTTTTTCCTCTGTAATACAATGTTTGCCCATTACTATCCAGTAAATTATTATTTTGAAATTTCGATTTGATATTAACATTTTTTTTCTAGGCTGTAACTGGCCTTTTCTTTTTTTATCCTCTTTCATTATAGGAGAACTCTTGCTAACCCCAACAAGGATCTACAGTAAGACTCTGCTGCCCATCCTTCGCTCGGGCCATGTGAAAGCCTATGCCCACATCACTGGAGGGGGCTTGCTAGAGAACATCCCCAGAGTCCTGCCAGAGTCCCTGGGTGTCGTTTTAGGTGAGATCCAGAAAGGGCCACTCTACAAACACCCCCGTGCTAACAGGGGTGGATACAGAAGCCTGTGCACATGGGGCCACGTTAACTGACTTCCACTGTAAGAGCTGGACTTGTCTGTCTGGAAGTCAGTGTGCTTTCCACTGCAATTCTCCTCATGCCTGAATCAGATCCAGCTGAAGCATTTCACAATCACTTCCTCTGTCGGTTTTTTTTGGGTTGGATTTGTCAGGAAACTGTATCTGTACTTTCAAAATTAAGACAAGGGGAAACGGTACCATTTGCAATAACCTGCAAGCTTATTGCCATTTAAATCACACTCACCAAGTCTTTGGCTGGCATTCAGATACAGTTAACAGCCCACAAGTTATGAGGCTATCAAGGTATTTTGCATACTTTAATTAATCCTCACCACAACCTCATCAGGTAGTTTAGAAATAGTATATACTTTCTCAAGAAAGGTAAGTATGGAAGTTAAGTGACCTACTATAGTCTTTACGGTGTTCACTGTGTTGTAGAATAAAATAAGGGAATTTCTATCAAGTCCTGTGCTTCAAATAGTAAATCATATTTCCAGCTGTCAATTAGACAGGGGTCCACAAGTATCCACAGTGGATACTCGTATGTAAAATAGAGACTAATACCAGAAGAAAGAAATTACCGTATTTGGGGTTCCACTACACTGTTTTGTCCTGAAGCATTTCTCATGCTGCTTTCAGCCTTCCTTCCTACACTGTCCTGAAGTATTTCTCATGCTGCTTTCAGCCTTCCTTACCTTGCTAGAATTGAGAGAAATGCTCTGTACTGAGAGAGTTAAAGCTGTCTTTTTATACAATAGCTTCTCTACAGACAAAATTTCCAATTTCATAAAGAGGATTTTTAAAAGGCAGCTTCAGGGCCCTTTTAGAATTGCTCCTTAACAGAGTGAAGTGGAGCCATATGATTCATTTCTTCCATGAGCCTTTCTACTCCCAAGTCTTGCTTAGTAGGGAGGGAAAAGACATCCTGTTCTCATGCATGGAAGCAGGCTTAGCTGAAGCTCATGTTACTGTGGGACTGACAGTGTGTGTTTGCATCCAGGTCTTTTCTCTCGACACTCTTGTAATTTTAGTATTTGTAGTGATAGTGATAGGTAGTGATTTTCACTCTTTCTTTGTATTTTGAATTTTCTTCAGATGCTCTTAACTGGAAGATCCCTGAAATCTTTAGCTGGCTCCATAAAGAAGGGAACCTCTCTGAGGAAGAGATGGCTCGGACGTTCAATTGTGGGATTGGCGCAGTCCTGGTGGTGCAGAAGGAGCTGGCTCAGCAGGTCCTCCAGGACATACAGAGACATGAGGCAGCCTGGTTGATTGGGAAAGTTGTCTCCCTACAAAAAGGTTACTAGATTTTTATTTTCTTTGAAATATAAAGCTAAATTTCCTGTCTGGTGAGTCTCCAGCAATTGGCACCTCTGTGGCTTTTGTGCATACAGTATTAAAATGGCAGTCCTGGAGACTGCTGGCTTAGTCTATAGAATATGTCAGGTGTCACCTGACTGCAAGTAAATAACAAGGAGTAAGGCAGTGCCACCTGCTTGTCTTTTCCTGAGTACTTCTCCATCCTCTCTATTTCTCCCTTTATTTAAATGTGTTTTTGCTTTTTCCCATCTTGTGCATTCAGGCTCTGCCAGTGTTAAGGTCCATAATCTGCTCCAAGCCTTGCAAGCAAACAGGTCACTGACGGTGCAGAGCCAAATCCAAAGCAAAATCCAAGCAAACAAAGTGAAGGTTGCTGTCCTCATCTCTGGAACAGGTGAGAGTTTATGTTCATCACTGCAGTGTACAACACAGCCTAGGGAACATGGGGCTTCAACTCAGAATCAAAATCCCTTGAAGGCCTTGCAAGTCTCCACGAAGAGTTTGATGAACTTTCTAGAGGCTTTTCGTGCTCAGTAACAGCAGTAACAGGCAGAGACAGTTTTTCCCTTGGGTTAATTTCAATCAGAAACGGAATGATCTTTACCCTGTGCTGCAAATTGATTATGAGTTGTATCTGTGTTCATTTTAAGTACTGTTTTCTGCATGTCTCTGAGTTCAAGCAACCACTGTGTTGGCTTAGAGCAGAATTGTCTTGCTAACGGATCAGAATTTCCTCTTGCCATGCAGGCACTCTCAGAAGTTCTCACAGTTTCACTTGTAAGATGGAGCCCATGACTTCTATTCCAGAAACTGCAGTTTACAAATGTAATTGCTAGTGAAAGGCTTGTAGTCTCCGGGTATCAAATTTACTTTTCAGAAAGTTCAATGAAAAAAAGGATTACTGTTGTTACAGATTTTTGGGAGGGATTGGGTCTCACCTACATTGTTGCTTACTCAAAAGTTGTATTTATTTTCCAAGAATGAAATGACACTCATTACTTCCTTTTTCACTCATAGGCACAAACCTAGAAGCTCTCATAAATAGCACAAAGAAGCCCACCAGTTTTGCACAAATAGTTCTTGTTGTTTCCAATAAAGCTGGTGTGGAAGGGCTACGGAAAGCTGAAAGAGCTGGTATTCCTACAAGGGTAAGTATTGCTCACCTTTTAAAAAATTAGCCTTCATTAGCTCTGATTACAAGCACTGAGATGTCTTGAGACAGTAAGAGTTACTAGGGTAGGAGATGATTTGGAAAGAGGCCTTTTGGGTGTTTGGGGTTTCTTTTTTTCTTCTGCCCTGAGCTTTGTGTTCTTGGGCAAACACCAACATGGAAACATTTCTTTTCCCTCAGAAATGTTACTTGCAATCCTAATGGGTTTAGGATCAGTCATTATATTAAACCAACTGCAGAACTTTTTCAGTTAGTTTAAAATTTGCCATTTAATTAAGTGTAGTGCCTATGTACTAAAGTAACGATGCATTTTGTCTGAATTTAAATTTAAAATTACATATTTTAATATACACAGTATTTCATTTGATAAATAGGATAAATTCAAGGCAAACTATATTTCCCTACTGTCATGGGGTCCAGTCTGATATTGCCCTGCCCTCTGTGTAACTGTTTGCACGTCAGACATGAAATGCTACTGTTCTGACTTAGGATCATTTTACACTTGCTTTTCAGGTATAACTAAAAATTTTGTGGAAGATTTGGCCTTTGAAATATCCATAGCAGAGTAGTTCATGGGAGAGTTCAGCCCAGTGTTGAGCCAGGCTGTATTTCCAGTGCCCTCTGCTATGTTTCTTGCTAGCTCCAGTTTTCCAAAACTATTTTGTGGTATTTAAGTGTCGCCAACGTGGTAAATCTTGTAGAGATAAACAGGTACTTTTATTTAAAGACTAGGCATATTTTAAATAAGTAACACTACCTTATTCCTGTTTAAAAATGGGAATGTATACTCGATGGAAAATATACAATTCCTTATATTGACTTTTTGCAGCTAAGGCTGTTTATCCTTAGGCAAGGTTCAAACGGTTTAAAACAGTCAGAAATCTTAAATTGAGTGAAATCCTTCTAAGACTTTAGCTTAAGGGCCTCTCATATTTGTAGGTTGTTCCATTGTGTCCAAATGCTTGGGCCTTAATTACGGGCCCAAACAGACGAAAGTCTTACTTATTTTGATAACTCTTTTGTGTTAATGTGAATAGAAATTGCAGGTTTGTCTGCTAGTGTATGCATTTAGGAACTGCTCGAGTTGTTCTGTATGTGCATTCCACTATAGCCACATGTGGAGATGATAAAGTTGTTTCTTGCTTATTACTCCAATGTACCAATTCATTGTTTTCTTAAAACCTTGAGATTAAATTAACCCCATCCATATTTCTTCCTTTTTGCAGGTTATTGACCATAAAGCGTATGAAAGTCGCACTGAATTTGACAAAGCAGTTGACAAAGTCCTTGAAGAATTCTCAGTTGAATTGATCTGCCTCGCTGGATTTATGCGAATACTCTCTGGTCCCTTTGTCAAAAAATGGGATGGTAAGCACAGCTGCATTAACATAGACATAAAAAAGCAATGTATTGCTCACTCTCAGAAAGAAGAAAATGGGGAATACTGTAGAATAGGAACCATATTAATTCTGTGCTTGGAGCAGCTAAACTCTTCCCATCCTGCAAGGACAGGGATGAGGAAAGGAGAGACACTAATTTGCCCTTCCCTTTAGTGGGAAGCCAAGGACAAAAGCAGCTCTTATGATCTTCCATTCATTAGAAAATACTGCAAAATAAGGCTGCGAACATTTTGACCTCTACAAACATACAGGGCAATTTGGCAAGTTGTTGCTGTATCCATAAACGCTGGTGAGCATCCAGCCACTGAGAAATCCTTCCTCTAAGAGCAGAGCCTCGTTGGCTGCACGTGGAAGTGCAAAAGCAGGCAGGGATGTGCAGGTCCTTCCAAGAGGATCCCCAGCCCTTTGCTTCGCTCTCCTGGGAGCCCTGTGGAGCTGGGGGTGGCCTCTTTCCGAGGGGATTCCGCTGCCACCTCTCTGAAGTCACAGAGTCACAGAGTGGTTGAGGCTGGAAGGGACCTCTGGAGATCATCCAGGCCAGCCCCCTGCTCCAGAAGGGACACCCAGAGCACAGGGTGGCATCCAGGCATTCACGGGGTCTCAATTCTGGCCACCCTGGGTAATTTTTCCAGTTCTTTGTTGGAGGCTGTGGCACCTCAGCCTCCTTCCTGGCTGCTCTCCCCAGGGAATAGGCATGGATACTTCGGCCAGCCCTTGCTCTTACTCCTGGGGTTGGCCAGCCCATTCAGTGCAGCCTTTGCTGTTCGCACTGTGACTTTTGTGTCACCCTGGGTATGTCACGGACCTTTTACCCCTGAGCCAGTTTTCCAGCTTTTCTTTATAAGCAGTGGAGCAAAACGGGTGTTCCTAGGAGGTGATTCATTTTCCACGAAAGCTGTCAAATAAAGGGAGCCAGGTGAATTTTGCTCCTGTTTTTCCTCCCTGTTGGTTCTGGAGTCCAGGAGATGTAAATGCTTGGGTTCCAGACAGCTGCTCTCCAGCCAGCCAGGGGAGAGGAGCCAGGACACCGCTGCATGAGCGACGTCTTTTGGGCAGAGTGTCTGTGCAACAGGCAGGAGGATTTCCTCCGGTGCAGAAATCTTGTGCAAACAGAGCAGGAGTTCAGCTCGCTGTGGTTGGTGGCCAGGAGCGCTGTGGGACCCCGCGGCAACGCGGCCCCGCGGGGCGCTCGGGAAGCGCCGGTGCCGCAGCGTTCCCGCGGCTCGGCCCTCCCGCTTGGCGTCTGGATGGGGCTCCGGGAATCCTGGCGGCGCTGCGGCGCCCTGGGCATGCAGGGACGGCAAGGGGGTGCCGTGCTGCGGCATGAACACTGTCAGTGCGCACTAAAATCCCACAAGGGTTTATACTGAAATTAAAAGAAGATCTAGCACGGTTAGGACTGACTTTGGTTTGGTCCAGAACTTCAAGGTTGAGTTGTCCCGAGTATCCTGAGGTCATTGAGAGGCACATGCTTTTCCTCTTAGAGGAAAGGTGCAGGTTTCTCAGGGTTATCTGGCTGAGCTGGTTGGCCTGGTTATCTGTCCACTGATTTTCACATGTGCTCACTCTCTCGTGTTAAAAAAGATCACAAATATAATTTGTTCTCTTATGACTGGCATACTTTGAACACCCTGGTAAAGGCAATGACCTCATTTACTCTTTTCTAGGAAAAATCCTGAACATCCACCCCTCTCTACTGCCTTCTTTTAAGGGAGCAAATGCCCACAAATTGGTGCTAGAAGCTGGAGTCCGAGTCACAGGCTGCACTGTACACTTTGTAGCTGTAAGTGCTTTTTTTCTCTCTCCTTAGAGTCACTCAGTCTTAAAAATTTTCACCTCAAAACTTGTTTGAAACACCTTATGCTGTCATGTTTCATGTATTTTCCCCTTCGTTTGTCTATAAAACGATCAGGTTCATCTTGACAATAAGGTGCTCTAGTTTGCTGCCGTTGTAGAGAGAATGGGAAATGAATAGCCTAGGCAGAAGTTTAAGCATTACTGTAGTTAACTCTTGGAAAAAGAGACAAAAAGTGTATTTTTTTGAGATAGAAAAACTACATTCCTTTCTATGCAGTGTGACTCAGGGGGCTCTTGAGAAGCAGTAACAAAGCAGCAGGGCTCTGCCTTGTGAGCAGGCAAAAGGAAGGTTTACTGGCTCCTCCAGCCCAGCTCGGTGCCAAGGCTGACTAATTCACTGCGCTGAATTAAAGCGTTGGCGTTTTGTCCAATTTCGCCTCTCATGTTCCCAGTTAGCACAAATTCTGTCGTTTCCTACAGCGGCAATGTTGGACGCGCGGGTGTTCCGCCCAGCTCCTCCTTTTTCTCGAGAACTTCCACTCCCAGCAGTTCCCTCACAGGCCTGGCCGAGGGGCAGCACCTTCCCACGAGCCCAACTTCCTCCTTCCCGGGGTCCGGGGATGGCAAACCGATCCCTGGGGCGGCTCCACTGCGTTAATCACCACGTGTCCCGTCTCACCCCTCTTTCTGGCCTTTCCAGGAGGAGGTGGATGCCGGCGCTATCATCTTCCAGGAGGCAGTGCCCGTGCAGGCTGGCGACACGGAGCAGACGCTGGCGGATCGCGTGAAGGAGGCCGAGCACCGGGCCTTCCCCGCCGCCCTGCAGCTCGTGGCCAGCGGCGCCGTGTGCGTGGGCCCAGACGGCAAGATCTGCTGGAAGCAGGAGCAGCCGCCCGGCCAGGGTCCCCAGGGGGGACAAGGGGCACGAAGGAATTGATCGAAACAGGTCACCTAACCTAACCCGCACCCAGCCGGCGCTTCACAAAGTGTTTTGAACATGGCATTTACCGTGTCCCGATCTTGTTCCACTGCTTAAAGGTTCAAAGTAAAACCTAGAGGAAGCCACACGTGGGGACAGCGGCCAGGGGACCACGCTCAGTACTTTCAACTATGGCTCCTTTACTGGTTTCCTAATTATAATCACTTCCTTTGCCAACATTTCAGTTCTCAACAAACAAAACCCTTTCAGCTGGTTACAGAGAGATCTGAGCATCTCCAAGATTGATGTAGGAGCATCAGTATGACTGCCTACATTGGCTACATAAATTGTACTCTGTTGTGTGCTCTGAAGTGTTTGCAAGGATAATTAAGGGAAACAGTAAAATGGAGGTGGCAGCCATAGGCTTTCCTGTGAGACATTCTTCCCAAAGGCTGAGGAAGTTAGGTGCCTGCACTCTGGAAAAAGTATTTCCCCCTGCAATTACAGTAGTGAAAATCCCGGAAATGTAGTAATTCTGAAACACTTCTTTAAGCTCTCTGCACAGCTGAACTCATGTCAAAAAAGAAAGTTGACTTTTAATGTTTGGCATAACTGTGAAAATATTTTAACATGTTTACTAGAATAATCTCTTTGCCCTATACAAACCCGAAGCATCCAACTGAAGCTGATCACGTGTATTTTAGAAGTCCTATTTAATACAGAGAAAGCCGGTTCCGTTCTGATGGCCATATGGTATTTCTGTATACCTCAAGCTGGATTTGAAATAAAGTCTAGTCAAATTCAAACCTTTAAACATGTTCCGTACTCTTTCCTTGGAATCCCCACACCAGAGGTAAGCGGTGACGCAGGAGCCTGGGGAACACTGTAGTGTCAGCTGCAGCGCCACAGCCGCGCGTTGCTTTGTGGGGTTGCAGGTGCACCCCTGCCCATGCAAGTCCCCTTCCTGGGGTGGGGGACCCTTATTGTTCCCATGGCAGGATGGTCCCACTTGCTGGCAGAATATTCTTGTCCCCGTTTTTCACTGAGGATAAAGCTGGTGTGAATACAGACGGGGATGACTTGCTTATAACCAAATTCCAAAACTGCTTGGAATCAAATTCCACCAGCTCCTAACGGGCAAGGAATAAAAGCTAAGTCTTCAGCAGAGTGTTTCTCTTTACCAACGTCGCTTCCCACGGATGAGCCTCCCCCCAGCACCCTCCAGGGCTTGAAACGCAGCACCCAGCTCCACGAGGGCAGGAGAGGGCCCAGCCGCGTCCAGCTCCGGCAGGGCTCCGGGCCTGCGCGGTGTCCCTCGTGCAAGCCAAGCCCAAACCCTGCAAACCCACCGTACAAACCGCAGGAACCCCAAATCCAGCACCCCACAGGTCTTGAGCAAGGCTCCGGTATTTTGCTGGCCAAGGCCAAAGGTGAATGTGATTTAAGCCACTCTGTGCATTTATACAAAAACATCAAGAGAAATTTCATTCCCAAACGGGCCTTAGACTGCTTTACCGCAGTTATCAGTCTGGAGTAAGAGTGACCCGATAAAAGGGTATCACCACACCCGCTTTCCGAGGGCTGTTGGGAACGCAATTAGTAACAGAGTTGTTTGACACCATGGTGATAGTCTGGAGACCTATCAGAGCACAACCACCAGCACCCTGTTCTCTCTCAACCTTTTACTTGTTAGGTTCGGAACAATCAATCATGCTGTGCAATTCAAAGAATTATACAACGTGAAGTTACTACACAGTTACAACAGACCAAAC